CCATATCGTCACATCACCAACGACAGCCACGAGTCCAACTCTAACCTATACATCTACCACGGACGAAGAGGACTTACTCAGTATTCCATCACATAATCTACCAGCTGCAGCTCGCGGTGGACCACCATCATCTGGTTCAGATTCATACTTTCCACCCGGTGCAGGCTCTGTAGTTCGTCGTCGGCCATCTCAAAAACAAAAATCTCCATTATCTGTAGGTGGACTCGCCGCAAGTCCACTACCTTTACCAGATGCTGAATGGGATTACTCGGAGACTGAGTGGTGGGGATGGGTTATACTAATTGTAACATGGATTGTGTTTGTTACTGGTATGGGTTCATGTCTAGGGGTATGGAGTTGGGCTTGGGATGTTGGAGAAACTCCTTATGCACCTCCTGAGTTGGAGGATGATCCAACACTACCAATTGTAGGATATTATCCTGCATTGATCATTTTGACGTCAGTAATGGCTTGGGTCTGGGTAGTTGTTGCTTGGGTTGGTATGAAGTACTTTCGGCATGCGAAAATTAGTGGAGATTGAAATGCTATATTTAATGATAATGTTAATTTACGGATGAAGGTGCATTTAAGGATTTTATAAAAGTCTTGTCGATGTTCACGTCAAGTGAAGATTGGCTTGCAAAGCAAACGAAAATCAATGGATACGTTCGACGTGCAATGGAGATGGGAATCACCATGGACGATCAATGAGCACATGAATTATTTGACTCTTCTCTTCATTTATAGAGCTCTCATCCGAGGAAGTGGAAGGCTGGCTATGGTCTGATGGATCTGATATCGCAGATGATCGTTGAGCTATAGGTACCATCAAATTTATCACCAAGTCTGGTAATAAATATCTTGTCGCCTTCCGATCTGCTAGTATTCGTGTGCGGGAGGATACTATATCTAGATGGGTCATATGATGGGACGCGTACAGGCCTTTTCGTTGATACGAAGAGAAAGAATACTTTCGCTGTCTATGCAGAGTAATATTCATTACTTTCTTGATTATTTCCAAGATGATAACCATTTTACCGAGTAGAGATTGGGTGGTGTACTGTTCTTGTATGCCGGCCGGGCAAGTACTAAAAAGGATCCAGGTTCGCTACTAGATCCGAACGGTTAGATGCAGTAGTCTGGAGATTCTGGTAATTGAATCAAGTACCTGGATTTCACGTGTATGAAACATCAAATAATGACAATGTCTACTCGCGAGAGGAAGACAGAAAAACAATAATATATTAGTGGACGAGAAGTTTACTCTTTGGCTAATCCGCTGATAAGACCGCGCTCGATATTTTTGTTAATTGAGAAGATTACATTCGTGATATAACGACATGAAACCGTATACTTCCTCATGCTTCGTTGTGCTCCAACAACAAGGTTATATTATATCAATGAACACGATATAATCCATAGAACCGAGTTGATAGGAATTGAATGCAACGAATATTTTCCCGAGCACATCTTTCATAATTTGCACAATTATATGCCAGGGCGGTGAGGTCTTAGCGCCAATCATAATTTGTCCGAGCTCGAAAAAAAGATTCCCGCATCAAAAAATAAATCTCGAATTTCGCAAGCTCAGTAACCAAAACATTCGATCCTCAATTGACAGTGCACAACACCGTCAAAATGGTCACCAAAAGCAAATTGAAGATGGCGCTTGCAGCCGATAAGAAAATCGATTTCCAAAAACAACATCAAAAGAAACAGGCTAAACTTGCGAGAAAGGGAAAGCCTGCGAAGGTTGAGGAGAAGAGCTCGAAGAAAGGAAAGGTTGAACAGGAATGGGAGGATGTTGAGGAAGAAAGTGGTGATGAGGAGGATGAGGATGCTGAAGAGGGTGATAGTGAAGATGATGAGGAAGAGGAGGAAGGAAATGGTCCTACTGAAGTATACGCGCTTTCAAATCCATTATTTACCAATACTAATAATCATATAGATTGACTTCGCAGCAATCGACGAAAGTGATAGTGATTCTTCCCTTGGTGGAGATGACGATGAAGAAGAGGATGACGAAGACGAAGATGATGAAGATATTCCCATGTCCGACCTTGAAGATCTTGAAGATGAAGAAAGAGAAGATATGATCCCTCATCAACGTCTCACCATAAACAATACAATTGCTCTTACCGCAGCCCTCAAACGAATCGCTCTTCCAGTCGCAAATCTCCCATTCTCCGAACATCAATCTATTACATCTGCTAAACCTACGGAAATCGAAGATGTTTCTGATGATTTGAAGCGCGAATTGGCATTCTATTCCCAATCACTCGAGGCTGTCAAATCTGCGCGATTGCTCTTAAAGGCAGAAGGTGTTTCATTTACTAGACCTACCGATTATTTCGCGGAAATGGTAAAGGCCGATGAACATATGGAGAAGATCAAGAGAAAGTTAATCGATGAAGCTGCTGGAAAGAAGGCATCTGCAGATGCAAGGAAACAGAGAGATTTGAAGAAATTCGGAAAGCAAGTTCAAGTCGCCAAATTACAAGAGAGAGACAAAGAAAGGAAACAAACTTTGGATAAAATCAAGACTTTGAAGAGAAGTATGTCGCAATCCATTTTCAATGTGGGTTGATAACATATACTAACAAATAACAGAACGTCAAGGTGCCGACAATGAGAACACAAACGAAGCAGATCTCTTTGATGTTGCTCTCGAAGAAGAAACCAAATCTACTGGTGGTCGAAATGATCGTAAGGGAGGACCAAACAAGAGACAAAAGAAAGACGAAAAATTCGGACATGGTGGTAAGAAGAGATTTAAGAAGAGTGGTGATGCCATGAGTAGTGGAGATTTGTCTGGATTCTCGGTCAAGAAAATGAAGGGAGGTGGTGCTAAGGGTGGTGCCAAATCTCGACCTGGAAAGGCCAGGAGAGCAGGTGGAAAGAAATAGTGTGGTTAATATGAAAGGGAAAAGTATTAAGGGGATAATTTGAGATTGGCGTTTTGGGGATCATGGAATGCATGTTCAATTGTTTGGGAAGATGTAGGACATGTGTGTGAGAGGAGAAACAGAGGGGATGTTGTAGAATACCATGAATGTCTTTGTCTTCATCATTTTTCTCATTTCTTTCTAGTGAGGGTGCCAAATTAAAGAAGAAGGGGATGTTTTCATACCTTCCGATGTGATTCGAATATTCCAGTTGACAAATGTTGGTTGGTATTGATCAGGATGAAACTTCTCGAGTGAAAGTTTCCACATCAAAGTTAACATACATACATACATACATACATACATACATACATACATACATACATACATACATACATACATACATACATACATACATACATACATACATACATACATACATACATACATACACATATGCCCCTCCCCTTCTGCTTTGCTCTTCACATTATTCCTTGCTTAGTTTATTATTAGAATTCGGATTTTTACTTCTGACTTCTCAAATCCTTTGAAGCATTTATTTATCCGTTCCATTGTTTATTGTTCTCTTCCTTTCTACGTTATTCTTCACTCTTACTATTTTATTTTTACACTCGATGCTTCAATCTGTTAGATCCTTTTCAAAGTATTCATTCAGTCATGTAGTCATTCATTCATAACTATGTAAATAATTAAATACGTAACCACAAATGATAAGTTCTTGCTTGCTACTCGCGCTGCTAGAAATTCTAAAATTCTGCTTTTGAGGGATCTCAGTTGGTTGACTTTTGGGTAGGTAGGCTCTACGTAACCGAAAAAAGAGGCGGGAGTTGAGTACTTTCTGAAAGGACTTGAATTTGAATCTCTTTTCAATGTTATATTAAATATATATAGTCCTAATTATCAACACGAAGAAAGCTCAAATTTCTGTTCCGTCTTCTTGAATTCCAACATTGAATTCGAAATGAATTTATAATTCTTTAAAGGAGTCCTTTGCAAGGGTACTCCATACCCGCGTCTTTTTTCGGTTACGTAGAGGTAGGTTGAGGGAGTTTAGTGGTTTGTGGTTTGTAGTTCATTAGTTTGCGATTTTGTGATGGGTATATAGGCATGTATGTTTATATATAGCTGCGAAGCTATTATGCGGACTCCCTAAAGACGTTTACTTTTTATTTGTTCGAGGAGAGTAGAGGTTGGATTTTGGATTTTGTATCTAAATTATTCGCTAAGTAAAACGTCTCATCTCATGAATCTTTCCCGCTTTCTTAAACCAACTCATTGATTTATATTTCTAGATATGTTTTAATACTGTTATTTTTCATATATTTAAGAATTCAAGAATTGATAGATTTCGAATCCCAACTCTCAATAGATATACATCTAGCTTTTACTTCTCTCGCTTTAGATTATTCGCTTACTCGTCGATTTCTGATTTTGTCATTTGATTCTACTATAGTATGTTTGAGAAAGTACTAGTAATAGTAAAACTAATACTAATACATATCAATATCATTCAACTATTTCCAAGGCAGAATAAATTACATTTCTTATTCCAACTATTAGACAACCGAAAGTTAGTGATAGTCATGAGATTATTTGAGATTTCTCGTCTATTAATCACTCGAGTAAAAAATTACATTAGAAAGGAAATATAATACAGGTAGGTAACCATGACAATCTATATACATACTCAGCCTGAGAAGACTTACAAAGGAGATACTGAACAGAGGCAATAAGTACATACAATACAGTTATAGAATAATAACATTTTCTAGTCTTCATCTTACCTCCAACCTCCAACCTCTAACTCCTAATTCCCAGATTGATTATTCGTATACTCATTGATCATATCTTCATAGCTTTTCTCACTGCGCCCAAACGCCCAATAGTTTCCTTCTCTTTTGATCAAGCCATCACGCCGTATATCCACTGAAATAACATAACATATCATACCAGACACTATTCCCAACCATGCTCAACTCCTTCCTCAACCCACTAAGCCCAAACCTGTAAACCCCTCATACCCATAAGATAGTTCGCTTGTGGAAGATAAGGATGGATGAATGAATACATGTTGTCCTCAACTTCTTCAACCCATTACACCTGATTCCTCTTCACTAAGCCCAAACCTGGACTTGAACCTACACCCTCAAACCCCTCATACCCATAAGACATTCCACTTGCGGAAGATGGAAATGAAGATGGATGGATGACGATATGCTCATGTCTATGAAATTTGTTTGGGGCATGAACCGATGCTGTTATATCGAATCAATATCAGATATCATCATAAATTGTAAAGATACAGAATAAAATGAAGACTAACTATCAGACTGATGAGGATGTCTCATACAAATTCTCAGACTGAGATAAGATATAATAAGTCCCATGAGACTCATAAAAAAAGTGATGATGCCGAAGCAGATGGCGATGGTATCTTGTGGAGACATGTTGGGGTTTTTCGTAACGGGTACGGATACAGGTACGGGTCGTGGGGTAATAAGGCTGATGATAGATGGAGATGATTACTGGATGCAGATGCAGATGCAGGGCTGATATAAGCGAGGCTAGATTTTCTAGTGATTGGCTTGATAAGGGCTGGGGTGATTCGTGACTTTTGTCGTAAATACGAAGAGATGGTAATCAAATAAGTAGAAAGATGTTTTAATCCAAGTTCTTTTTGAATCCGGGTCCGATGAATGGTATTGATCTGAGAATCAATCCAAAAATATTCTTATTGAGAGAAATCATTGATACTTATTACCCTTTTTCTGCAACACCATCATCACATTTGTTGTGAAGGTGGACACGGTGGGGTATGACTTTCTGTACAAGGCCGAGATCAAAAGATGTAAGTGGCTCGCTAGACATCCATACGGTACACATAAATTCGATGTGATTGAGGCTAAGCAACTCTAGAGAACATTTTCAGCCTATCGATCATTACAACTCACACGAGTCATCTGGATACTAAACGTTCTGTCAGCTCCATATGCATAATCCTTGTTACAGTTGACCCCACAAGATTTGGCTAAGCTGCTGGGCTTCTCTCCTCTCCACTGTCCCACGTTCATCCTACCGAGCTACCCTTGACTGATCAGCAAACACCACACTGAAAGCGAACCGTTGGGAAAACATAGCGAGATGATAGAAATACCCAAGCTTGCATATCAAAAACCACAAGAAAGTTTCAATAAGGCTAGTCCCGTGACATCCATGTCGCACAACGTCGTATAGAAAAAATAATCTCTCAAGCCTCAAATATACAGTAAGCACTTACTTAGCAGGCTCTCACCCTTCGAACAAGTTCAACATCGAGTACACAAACATCGAGTCAACAAATATCAATACACACGATGAATCCTCCAATGTTTCAGATTTGGCAATACCTGCTATTTGTTTTTTCGTTCTCGAAGTTCCAGAAATCAGATCTAACAGTTATCCCCTCTTTCTTACTTTTTTTTACTTCGGAAATCCTTGAAAAGGGGCTCGAAAGAGCGAAACATTCCATGCATCTTAGAAAAATATATATGTCGGGAAAAAGTGTATACCGCAACAAAGTAACTGGCTACTCGCGTACATCGTCAAATCAAGCGTAAAATTCACGACCGAAGATAAATGCGACAGAGTATCCAAGAAGACGACATTAGCAGCAGAGCCGCCAAAGGAGAATTATTTCCGGATAATTGATGCACTATATTGGAACTCTCAAGTACAATCAGAATACTATGTACATGATATGATATAACACCACAGGCAAGAGTTTTGAACAAGTGAGCGTCAGTAGAAGAACATGTTAATTTCACATCCAATTTTTTTTCCAGTTCTCACGTACAGTTTGTCTTCATCTCTCACATCCCCAAGGCATAAGTATCGAAACCTCATTGACAACTACTCATGTATCCGCCAGAACCACAGTACTCCAATCCAGATAATGTATATGAGCGATGGTTAGACAATTACCCGGCTTCATGGTCGTCACACCTGTATCTTCTGAGCTAACTTCACAACAGCAGGTCCATCATCTCATGATAGATACGTACAACTCAACAGCGCTAGAAAAGTATGTTCATGCTCATACATCTTCTGGAAGAGATCCTCCGATGTTAAAAAAATATACCCACGAAAAATCAGCTGCAATATAATAGAAGCCAATACAAAAATACGAAGAAATGGTCTTTTATGAACATAGCACTAACGAGGAGAGCTTTCACCTCTAGTACTAATCCTCAAACTAACACATGATAGCAAACGACCCAGGACCCCAACGCGACAGACAGCTCAGGATACCGAGGAAGATCACAAGGAGTATATTTTGTTCCATTATGACTTGCGAGTTACGAAGATAACTTCACTATTAGACTTCTTCATAGAATGACATGCGTACTGCAAATCATAAATGCAGAGCTTCTTATCGACAATAGGCACGAGGCTAGTCTCGCACAAAAGACACGACAACGATACAATAACATATCTATATAAGAGACATATCAGGACTTGTACGCGAGGTCCTTTAATACGACATTGAGAAGAGTGATTCAATAATTTGTCCTCGCCTTGACTTTATCGTTTCCAGAGAAATGGTGGCACATATTAAGCGCACAATGGATACCAGATAAACACATGCCATTCGAACCAACAGCCCGGGTTCCTCCCCCTACCACATTCGGTAAGCCATTGCCGCTACGGGCAACACACAACCCCAATCCGAAGAGAAAATACTCAACACCAACCCCGCCAGTAACTCTACCCATTTCTTCTGAAAAAACAGAGTAACGCGCATCGCATTGAATTTATATTTCTCAGCCCTCCGCGAACTGACTATTCACAAACCATCAATTCTTCGTAACCGACAAGAACGCTCCATTCAAACACACCACCCCCGAAGAAACTTTCCCCGCCACTGTAATGAAACTTCAGACATCCCCAAGACCAATTCTCCCTAGAGCGATATCTCACGTGTATTTCCACGCCACACTACTACGATTCGATTCTATACATAACCCGTAAAATTGACTCTAACCTCTATCTCCGTTTCCACTACGAGGTTAAGTATACACTTCCATCCTTCTAATCTCATCGGGTGTACTTGGGTAGAGATAATCCCCCTCCCCCACGCCGCCAGAATCATCCACTTCTCATTTCTCAATCCCTCTCAACCAGGACCCGATAACTACACGAGTAATCTTTGAAAATTCGCCAAGAGATATCAAGTCATCAAGCACAACTATACCAAATTCCCTAGAACTTAGATCATAGTTTTTTAACCGACGTCAAGGCAATAAATAGCCTTGAAATCTAATCATCCAGCTTTCTGACAACACAACACAACAAAAACCAAAGAACAAGAACGTAGATGCTGAGCAAAGAATGCAAGATTTCCACAACTCTTCATTTAGATACTCAACAAAACAACCAAATAACGAGAAAGTAGATAGATGCCATGCAGACAAAGCATGCTATGGTAGATGATACAGGAAAGCACTGCACGGCAAACTTCCGCCAGATGTAAACCAAACTATAATCAATCTCTGCTAATCATAAGCCAAGCAAGCTGTATTAGCTTCCCACCAGACAAAAAGTAAGTATCCAAGTACCCAAGTATATGCGATATCCCCCAAACCAAACTAAACCAAAGCAACAATCATCATCATTATCTCTCTAATAAACACATACACACAACACAACAGATAGCATACTGCAGTACCGGGTGCCCATCAAAAGAAAACCTACGCATCTCTCATACAGACCCCACCACATGAAATAAGATCACCACCATGAACAAATAGCGTAGAGAACTATAGATATCGAGGCAGGGCGTATATCCATCCACACATGATATCCATCGTTGTCATCTATCATTCTATCGTCCCCGACAAACATTGATATCAACCACAACCACAACCACAACCATCCCCTTACCTCTCACCCCTCACCCCTCACTTTACCACTCTATCAGCACATCCCATAAACCTCATCAAACCCACAGACGAAATTAAATTCTTAAATCCCGCAAAAATGAATAATAAAGAAACATACACACTCATGCATTTCGGATTCTACCACCACCACCACCTCCACCACCACCCAAAATCCACATGTGATCTTCCCCTAAAATATCCACAGAAAGTATTTATCACACATCAATCGATGTATAGCAGACGAGATCATAATCACGTGTGTTTAATAATCCTAGGTAGGTATGTATTATCGACATTCTTTGAACGCAGTAAAGTACTACTTATCATCATACATCACTTCTCTCTCATTCTCATTCTCATTCCCATCACCATTCTCAAGAATGAGTGAAACTGAGAAGAGAAGAAAGATTCGAAAGCCATCTACAATCTCATGAGCAGTGCCTGTAGTAACACGTGATATGACATACATATCACGAGACACAGCCCGAAAGTAATCTAGCCTCTAGACTCTGAAGTCTCAAAACTCAAAAAGGGGAGATCTATAATCCTCGGTTACTTAACCCTTCCCACCCCACTCCCACTCCCATCCCAGAGACTCTCTCCTCGAGATTCACAAAGAAGAAGAAACAAACTAGACACGCAGAGAATGGATCCGTCACCCTGTTTATAGGCTATTCCGGTACTTGCTTGAGCCTCGAGACTTGAGACGACTCAAACAACCCGATTCAGAAGGAGGTGAAACCCCCGCGCAGGCTCATCATCCACCCTGTATTCTCGAAAATCTGAAAACTATTCAGAATCAGAATCAGAATCAGATATCTGAAGGTAGGTATTCGAAACAAAACGAAACAGACGACGACAATCGCTTTACTTTTACTTACACTTTAAGTTAAGCATCACGAATCGCGATTAAAGACGCTCAGAAGAAATCAACAAACTATCCCACAAACAAACAAACAAATCTACCTACTTAACTAGGTATGTGCACCATCGCAACCCATATATCCCACAGAAACAACAACAACACCAGCACTAAGAAAGAAAGCAAGCAATCAAGCAATCAAGCATAAAACCAGCTCCAATAACGGACCGAAAACATTCCGTGGAGAGGGAACCACAGCCATAACCCCTTTCCCCTCCATCTCCAAACCCATTCCGTTTCATGCTCGCTCGCGTGTTCTGGGTTCTGGAAAAGGAAAATGAAAATGAAAAGGAAAATGAAAATGAAAAGGAAAATAAAACTAAGACCAAGTAACAAGTGCCCTATACCAAATCTGAAATCGAGATGTATAGATAGGTAGATAGGTATATACATCCACAAATTTGCAATCGCGTAATACAATAAACAATACTGTATAAACAAATAAACTTATCTATTCGCAGTATTTATTCAAATCATAACTTCCGCACTCACTTTACCCTCCAAAAAAATCAAACAAAAAAAAAAAAAAAAAAAAATCAAACGATAAAAATATCCTCATATAAACCCTCACAAAGCGCCATTTCGCAAATCTGTCTCTTCACATAGC